AGATAGATAGATAGATAGATAGATAGATAGATAGATGTAGACTGAAGTAATGGCTGTAAATGACATTTTAAAAAGATATTAAAATGGAAAAGTTATTTTAAATTGTAATATTTCACAATATTCATGTTTTACTGCATGTTTGACCAATTAAATGCAGCCTTGGTGAGCATAAAATAATTCTTTCAAAAACATTAAAAATCGTAATTACTTTTATCCACCAACGTATGTTTATAGATATGGACGTTTGAAATACAAAATCTAATTTCTCATTTAAACCTGAAAATAAATGTTTTGGAGAAATGTTATGGTGTAGAATTAATATTAAATATTAAGTTTATGCATTATATCTAGGCCTCCAAACCAATAAGCAAATTTGTGACAATTTTCATTTATCATTTGTAATGGGGAAAATAGGCAAAAATTATTATTTTCACCGGCGGTCCCATGCAGACTTTATCCCTAACAATGATGTTGATCAAAAATAGCACAAGACTTACTTGTACTGCCCAGTCGACGAATCTCATCAACGAGCAGTGTAACTTCATGTTCCACATTCATTTTTGTCACTGAAAGTATACATGCATGTTAATACTGTAAAGGCTTACTTTTTTACCTACTCTATAGCCTACTGCATTTCTGCATTAAAAGACTTAAAGATATACTGAGACTATAACCATCTTTGGGTCAAGCAATGCTGATTCAAGTTTGAGTATGCAACTGGAATAATAAATACTAGTTCGTTTAAAGCGTTCTGAGCATTCTTACGTGGATTACAACAATAAACGTGCTGAATAAATCGCTAAACTGCTTTTGACACTCATTCTCCACTTTATATGCTTTATTTAGCGCCCTCTCTGAGCGAGTTGAGAATTGCAACGCCGCACCCTACCGGCTTATTGCAGATGCTGGCCATATAAAGACTATAATTACTTATCATCTTGAATTTTGATTAAGAAAATTACACGTGTGGCCCGCCTGGTTAATACCATACCGTAGGTTAAACATATTGAGGCGTAATTAATAAACGGCAGCACGGCTTTCACGGAGCACGAGGATTATCATTTGATCAAGCAATGCGGAAGTACGAATCTGAACACTGAAAGTGAAAGAAATGTGTGAAATATTGTATTAAAGCAAATTGTGAATCGCATATAATTTGAATTCTATCATCACACAGATTTAATTCCCTAAAGTACACATAAACAAACAAACACTTTTTGTGCGTAAATCTATTCACACTGCATCAAAGAGGCTTGCACTCAGATTCTGGATTATTAATCCATAACTCCATTAGGAAAACATGTATTCGGATAAATAACTCATTAACATCAAAAAATATTCCAAAGCGGTACAATAATCAATCTACGTACCTTTGTGGCGTTTTTGTGCCGCCGCTGCTGACTATAGGCTGATTGAAATGAGAAAGCTCTACCATAGATGGCTTTGGGGGTGTGTGACGTCACATTTAGATTAACCTAGTGGTTAGTGGTTACAAAGTAATTTGTTAACCTAAAGTGATTTTTTTGGATACACTTGGAATGGCAGGTCCCCTAATTGTATGGCGCTGAGTGATGCCATATATCAACAAAATGTACAGTTTAGTTACTGGGCAACATTCCATGAAAATGCTGTCCATCCATAAATGTTTGCGATATGAAATGTCATTTATTAGACACCAGGTGGCAGTAAATAGCTATTTATTGCTGATTACTGCTATTACGGTGACATTTGGTTTGTAGCCAATGAGCTTTTTAAATTATTTTTTGTGTATTCGACGTTAATATAATATTGTGTATATATGACTGTATAAAAATATAAAAAAGATAATAGGCAACAGATAGATAGATAGATAGATAGATAGATAGCGAATGTGCTCTTTAATAGCATTTAAATATTAATTTTAATGCCAGCGAAAAGCGCATGCGTACGAAAATGACGTGCGGTCTTACGCAAGTAGCTTGTCTTACGTATGTTTGTCTACGCCCCTTTGGTGTGGGAAATGTGGTTTTAAGTGCCTGACGCTTCTTTTGTAGTCTAGCCTGCAACGTATTACGTAAGGGGGTCGGTATAAGTACACCGAGTCACCGACCAACCTGCATGGCTTAAAAAACGGCTGCGCCTCTTATTAAAGGTCGTAGTCCTGTCTTGTAAAATGTAGGCTAAACACTTAAAGAGAATGCACTCCAGGTTCGTGGTTCTTTGGGAAATCGTCGTAGAATTACTTTCATAATTTTTTTCAGTGGGAATCAGAGGACACCTGCAATGTCTCCTGTACAAGAAAATTCGCGGTGGCCCCGAGTATCAAAGTTCACTCTGTCAGCATGTGCTGCAACTGTTGCAGAATTAGGTAGCTACACATCCTTTCTAGTTTTTAATATATCTAATTTTTTAAAAACATTTTATATATTTATATAATAATTAATATCTACAATTTATTCTAAGAATTGATTTAAAGTGCATGTATTCTGTGTGTGTGTGTGTGTGTGTGTGTGTGTGTGTGTGTGTGTGTGTGTGTGTTTTTTAATACAATTTTTATGTGAGTCACATTCCCTTTGGACCTTACTAAAACCAGACTTCAGATACAGGGTGAAGGTGGTTCCCGACAGCACTGTGGAAGTGTACAGCCTCCAAAACACAGGGGCATGCTGAGCACAGCTTTGGGTATAGTGCGAGAAGAGGGGCCCTTGAACCTGTGGCAAGGGGTCACACCAGGTATCTACAGACATCTAGGTAGAATGTTAATTGCAATGAGCTTTATTAACAAACTGAGTTATATATAGAATACTTGCCTGAATTAATACATGCATGTATTTGAATCCCCTTCTGACTTTTGGAATTCTTCATCTTTAGTGTATTCAGGCGGCAGGATGTTGGCTTATGAACAGCTCAGGGAATCAGTCTTGGGAAGATCTGAAGATGGCATTTTTCCAGTCTGGTGAGGGAAACATCTGTGAAATATGAAACAGGACAGTGATTAAAGTCTAAATAGAAGGGATCAGCATGTGTTCTGTGATGTGTATAGGAAAGCAGTGATTGGCAGTATTATATCAGGTGCCTTGGGCCAGTTCATCACTAGTCCAACAGATCTAGTGTAGGTTCAGATGCAAATGGAGGGCAGGCGCCGTCTGGAAGGGAAGCCGCCAAGGTGAGGCATAGACTTAAAGGAATAGTTCACCCAAAAATGAAAATTTGCTGAAAAATTCAAATGGAAGGTTAGTTTTGTGTATTTTTTTAAAATGCTGATGTGTAGTTAAGTAAAGAACATTATTTAACTTTGTTATAATAACTTATTATTTTTACAATTCTGTTGCAGGGGTCTTCTCTACAAGTCTTCTACTGACTGTCTGGCTCAGTCAGTGAGAAAAGAAGGATTTTTTCCCCTCTATAAAGGATTTCTACCAACTTGGTTTAGAATGGTATTATGATTTTAAATATTACTTGAGTTTATTAAAGTTTTATTGTCTTGTGTTGTTATTCTAACTCTGTTTCTGTTCCCAGGCTCCCTGGTCTTTGACGTTCTGGCTTACATTTGAGCAAATGAGACGAGCAATGGGCATCAGCTCATTTTGATGATTTTAAGAGTTGGACCTAGAGTATTTTTCTGAGCTGAACATTCCAGACCTAATTTTTTTAGGTGTGAATTTAGTCATATACAGGTACATGCTGCAGGACATGAATATTAGGATAAAGTTAAGATTGATCACTGTATGTCTTGGAAAAAAATAAAATGGCATAGCAATCATTCAAGCCTTTTTTTTATAAAAAAAAATGACAGTTGTTGTCTCTCTCACTCTTTTTTATACTTTTAAGGAATTTTTTACTGTTTGAATCTGGTTGTTTTATATTATGGTGTTTATTAAATAACTTTTTTTTTTATAGTTTTCATTTTAATATGATTTTGTTCATTTTTACTGTTGTCAATATTATATGTTTATTTTAATACATCAAGTTAAACTAAATAAAGTGAGTGAAGTGACATGTGGCCAAGTATGGTGACCCATACTCAGAATTAGTGCTCTGCATTTATCCCATCCAAAGTGCGCACACACACACGGAGCAGTGGGCAGCAGTGCGGCACCCAGGGAGCAGTTGGGGGTTCGGTGCCTTGCTCAAGGGTACCTCAGTCGTGGTATTGAAGGTGGGAGAGAGTGCTGTACATTCACTCCCCCCACCTACAATCCCTGCCGGTACGAGACTCGAACCCACAACCTTTGGGTTATGAGTCCGACTCTCTAACCATTAGGCCACGACTTCCCCCTTAGATGAAGACTCATCTCAGTCTTCAATGAAATAAGTTTAAGTTTTTTTATATATGTTTATTATAAGTAACATATTGTTTTATGGGTTTAGTTTTGCTTAACTATAGCTGGAAGACCAACCAGGACCACAAAACCATGGGCTGGTTTACAATGTTTTTCTACAGGGAAAGCTGTGCTATCCTGATAAATATTTATTAAAATATACTGTCAATATTTTTGTGAGCAGCAGTTTTTTTTATAAGCATGTAGAGAGGACCTTGCCTCAGACATGTGAGAAAAACACTCAAAAATACACGTTTTATTTTACCAGCAAGAATTTGAAATTCAAAACAATGCATGGAGCATGCTTTTCTTTCTACAGAAAAAGCGTATATGTATTCAAATGATATTGCACAAAAGACTAAATAAGTAACGCATATTTCAGAAAACCTAGTGAGATAAAGGAAAAACAGCTTTATTATATGCATTTAAACATTAATGAGCAGAGTCCTCAAACAACCACTAGAGGGCATCCAGTCAAAAAATTTGACCAGTGAGGAAATAAACCCGGAACGTAAACATGAACCCGGCGATGTGTCATTTCCGGTCAGGCTATTTTCATTCAATAAAATGGCAACGCCGAGCAGTGGCACTTCCCGGCGTTTAGTCCAGTATGTGATCGTCCGATCAGACCTTATACACACTTTATCATGGCCTTTAGGAGCGGTTATAACTCAAGCCTGTCACGCGGCCACTGCTGCCATTCATTTACACTACAGTGACCCTGATACTCAGGAATATCTGGCAGAACTGGACAGCATGCACAAAGTAGTGCTGCAGGTTAGTACTGCAACTACATCACATGCACCATGTGCTTCTTTCCCTGCACTGCTGGGTTGGATTATATAGTATTCTTCGATTTGTTATGGTTGACAAATACTATCAAAGCCATTAGTAGACTCACAAATGAATTAATAATTAAGATTTTTTCATTAAGTTAATATATATATGTACACTTTATAGTTTCAAAGTCCCCACCCCCACCCCACCCCACAGGCTCCAGATGAGGCATCTCTCAACACTCTTTCCAGTACTCTACGTGAAAAAGACATTGCACATAAACTGTGGCTGGAGCAGCCTGAGAATATCCCCACATGTTTGGCATTGAAGCCCTACCCTAAGGAGACTATGCAGCCATTTCTAAAAAAGTTCAAGCTTTTCAAGTGAATTCTGTAAGAATTGTGCAATATTCTGAAATGAACTGTACAATGTAAACACAAAGAGTGGTGAGAATGGAATTTTGGCTGAATGAACCTGCTAAAACACCCTTAACATCACATCTTTGGTTTTCAACCACATTTTGTCTTGATTTACCTCTGTGGCAAAAGATTACTCACTTAAGTTGTGTTAGTAATGTAAGTTCTTTAATATCTAACATGAAAACTGAATGTCTTTATTCTGCATTGTGATCAGTTTGGGCAATACATTTAATCAGTGTCGACAATGGAATCTGAACTAATCTCAAATGTTTTTAAAATGTATTGGAAGGGCTTTTGAAATATGTATGCTTTAACAAATTAATAGTTTAAACTAAGACGTAAGATGTGCTGGTGGGTTAGTAATTATGGACTGTTAATATATATGTGCAGTGAGGGAGTTATATCGTGACCAGTGATGCTCGATTCTTGAGAGAATGAGTCTTTTTACCTTGGATTCTCGAACAAAAGAGCCTTATTAGCTGTTTGTATTTTTGGGAAGAAAAAAAAATAACATGGTGACCAATAAAGTTCGATTTTCTTGTTAATGACTTAATGAGCCGGTTCTTTTTAGTAAATCAAGGTTACATCGCGACCAGTGAAGCTTGATTCTCGAGGGAATGATTCTCGTGAGCCGGTTCTTTCAATTAATCACGAAGTTACATCGTGACTAGTGATGCTCGATTCTCGAACGAAAGAACCTTAAGAGTCGGTTCTTTTTAAGTGAATCAAAGAGTTACATTGTGACTTGTGAAGTTAGTCTTTTTCGAGTTAACTACTCCTATGAGCCGGTCTTTTTAGTCTATCAAAAAGTTATATAGTGAACACACAAGTTCGATTCTCGAGTGCATTACTTGCGAGTCGGTTCGTTTTAGTGAATTACAGGGGTCATATGATGCGATTTCAATTTTTCCTTTCTCTTTGGAGTGTTACAAGCTCTTGGTGCATAAAGAAGATATGTAAAGTTGCAAAGACTAAAGTCTCAAATCCAAAGATATATATTCTTTATAAAAGTTAAGAGTAGCATCATATGACCCCTTTAATCTCAAGTAATTTGACTTATTAAATCATTAATATCAGACTAAATTAACTAAGAAGGCGTAATGTTTTTCTTAAGATTAGTGAGAACTACCCAACTGATTGTTCATATGACAAAGTATAGTTAAAAAAATACACATTAAGTTTTTTGTACTGCATTTCTAAGTATTGTTTCATCAAAACAATAATTAGTGCAACTGTTAATTGAACAGTTTAAATAGCTTACGATTCCCTAGATATAAAGATGGCACTTGCTGTCCCTTTTTACATGGTGCTTTATTGCAATGTGTTGCATTCTCACATTCATGGATGTTATAGAGATTTGTTAGTCAAAGCATAATTTCCTTCAAGGTATGTATCTTCACCTTGGATTAGCAACAAAGGGGCCATATGCACGAGGTGTGAGTGAATGTTTCTTGTTTGTCTGAGTGTAGGTGTATGCATATGTGTGTGTATGTGTGTAAACTTCAAATCTCAGTTTGAGCAGCCACATAATTCCATGAAATGGACAAGAAAAATAAGACTGATTCAGTAGATGCGAAACACAGTTTTGCAGCCCGCAGGACAATCCTGCAGGTGCTGGACCCAGCATGTGACTGATTGTCTACAACGTCCTAAGAAAGGTAGGATTCTCCAGATAAACCTGGATATAGAGAAAACAAAAAAAAACAAACAAAATAAAAACAAGTCTCCCAGATACATCTTCATTCATAATGTCCCACACACAGCTGCAATGATACCTCTTAAGAAAAAAAAAGTTCACAAGAATTATACAAAACTGGACAAAATGAGTAAAATGTATATATCTATATATATTTGTTTATTTATATTAATTTTACAGGTGAAAAGTGGAACCTTGCCTTGAAAGAACGAGCGCCGTTTCAGTGGAGCTAAAAACACATGACTTCCCTTCACCAATACAACTAATATCTGTATATTAATAAGGCAGCACTTACAATATGCGAAAAATCTCAGGAAAACAGTAGCTACTGTAGATGATACCATGTAGAGATGACAACTGAATGACGAGGAGAGTGTGTGGTGGTCGATACGTAGGATTCACTACTATGATATGAGGAAATGCAGATTGTACGAGTTTGCATAAATGGTTCTTAGCACTTGGCACTGAGCGTGCGGGGCCTGACCTACGATGAGCAGAAAGCAGAGTTCGATGAGGAATGTCTTCAAAAGATAAAGCCAGGAGCGCGCAGGCTAACAGGACGGGGCAAAGGGGAGGTGGAGCACCTGAAGAAGATAGGCATAGTTAGATCTACGGTACTGCAGCAGAAAAAAAAACAAACACCCATGTAGCAAAGGCTCCGCTACCCTGCTCTGTTAAGGGATCCAATGGTGAGGGCCTGACAAGCCAAGTTCTTCCTGAAGAACCTGAGATGCGTTTTGATTTTTTTCCCGAGGAAAGCGAAATGGCATTTCACTTTGCGAAAATACATTCAGGGGGTATTTGTTTTTGTCTTTTTTCCCGATAGTCTGATTTAAACATGGCCTCTTTCCTTGTAATTCATGTATAAAGTGCAAAACTAGATTGTATTCCTTGCAAGTTCCTGGTACATTTAGGTTTTTTAGTAAAAAACGTCATGTAAAATACAGCAAAAGTCTTACAAAGGTCAGTATAAGAAAATCCTCATAAACAAGAAAACGTTCATCAAACGGTGAGGAGCAGTCCTCTACGCTGAAAATATGTACAAGAGGCACCTCAAATTTGGTATAAAGAATCCAGCTAAATAAAGTCAAATATCTAAGTATAGTTGCATCAGTATGGTTTTCTCGCTTTTAGCCCGAATAGCTCAAAGCCACTTGTTTCGAACTACAAATGATGTATATCCTTGAGTTAAAAAACAAAATAGAGGAAAAACAGGAGATGTTTGTTAGCATTCATTGCTGGAATACTGCATTCAAAGCAATAATCCGTTTTGAGTGTCAGTTTTAAAACAAAAGCCAAATGCTTTTCATTTAACCTCTAAAGGTGCATAGCTAGCGGTTAGAAATCAGTCTTCCTTACAAAAGCCAGTCCATGCTGCTTCTCCCTCAGCAAAGTCACATTCAGCAGTCGCTAAACCATTCTCACATATAGAGCAATCTCAACACCCACAGGAAAAGTTGCAGGTATTCCAAAAAAAAAAAAAAGATAGAAAGAAAAAAAAGAAAATCAAAATCAGGACATTTGTCTGTTTTTCCATTTTAAACACCAGATATACAGTATTAATCACACACATACACGCTTTCAGACAGCCATACACATCTCAAAACCCCCCCAAAAATAATTGAAGCAAGTAGTTATTACCACAAACTCGGAGCACTACATTTTGTTGATTCTGAACAGATATATATTCACATTTATCTGTTATATACACAATACTTTGATAATCCAGGTTCTGAATAGTTCTATTGTACCTTGATGTTGTGTAGTGACTGTGAGAGCCGTTATAAACAAAACAATAAAAACATTATTAATAGGCGCTGTTTGCTAGTTTGGTATATTTGGCATAAACACGGTAGTGATGACAGGTAGGGTTCATTAAATGAATCTTATCCACTGCATAAAAACCATTTTATCTATACAGGAACGCCTGTTCCCCAAAGAGGAGGGCAGAAATTATAAACACGTTTAAAAAGGTGACCAGGAATGAGCACTTTGTCGAATGGCTATGAAACCTCAAGCCTGGGCCCATACACCGACCCTGCAGATATACTGTATAAAAACCAAAGGTGAAGAATAAAAATCTCTACATGTGGAGATGGTCCTCTGACAGACGGTGGGCGGCTCACTCAGTCAGGAGCTGCTGGAGGAGGCTCTTCTGCTGAGACTGGGCTGTGGGAGTCCCGCTCGGGCCCTTCTGGGACCCGATGGGCCCCGACTGGTTAAGGTAGGAGTCACTGCCCACCAGGTTTACCGTGCACTGGACATCAGCGAACACCTGAACCTGCTGTACCTGAGAAATGGGAATGAATGGAAAAGGGAAAGACAGTCATTTTTCGAAAGAAATTAATACTTTTATTCAGCAAGGATGCTTTAAGTTGAACAAAATTGACAGTTAACTTTACAAAATATTTTCATCAAAGAATCCTGAAAAAATGTGTCACGGTCTTCACAAAAATATTAAGCAGCACAACAGTTTCAATCATCGATGATGATAAGAAATGTTTTTTTAGCACCAAATCAGCATATTAGAATGATTTCTGGATTGTAATGGCTGTTGAAAATTCTGCTTTGTCATTAGAGGAATAAATTCCATCTTAAAATACTGTTAAAAAACAGTTAAAAAAGTTATTTAAATTGTAATTATATTTCTCAATATAACTATTTTACTGTAATTTTGATCAAATAAATGCAACCTTTTGTACAACATTTTTCTTTTCAAAAACATTAAAAAAATCTTCCAGATCCCAAACTTGTGAATGGTAGTGTACAGTGTTATTATTCATTAATTAAAATAATAAAAAACATTTTCAATAATTGAAAAAATAAACATGAACTGAAATTTAAAAAAAAATAATAAACTTTTACTTTATTAACATTTTACTTCAGCTTGTTGCCAGCATTTCTAAATAAACTAAAAAAAAATTTTTTTCTTTGAACTATCCCTTTAAGATATCTCAATAAATAACCAATGACCATCTTACCTGATCGTTACACATTGAAGTGACGTTGCCAAGGATATTGTTGCCCATTCCGACAGATGGTCCAATAGGAGGTAGAGTGCTCACCGCTCCTGACCCTCCAGCCATTGACACGGTGATGCTCATGTTGTTATACACGCCTTGCTGCCCAAAGCTCTGAGAGACAGGCTGGCCTGCCTGGTTATACATACTGACACAAAACAAGAAGAAATGGTTTAAATGAAGATTAATACACATAAAAACAAATTGCATACAGTTTTGTGACCTTTTGGTGATTGATATCAAACACCATACCTGTTGTTGCCCATGGCCCCTTGCTGCCAGTTCTTTATGTCAGGTGACTGATAACCAGGTGGAGGCTGCGCTTGCTGGAGCACAGGACTCTGGGAGGTGGAGTTCTGAGGTGAAAGCAGGGGGCTGGTCGGACTAAGCTCAGGAGCGAAGGATGGATCTGCTTGCTGGATCATGCCTGTGAGAGA